ACTCAGGCCGAGGCTGCTTTATTATATGCAGCAGAGGGCGGACGCGGTGCTGGATCTGCAGGTTTTGATTCTGGCCTTCTTTGAGGCTTCCGAAGACCTTAAATCAACCCTCTGGCACGCGGCTGGAGAAGGCCTCGTGGACGAGGCAGGGGTCCCGATACTTGGAGGTTCATGGGACTTAGTAAGTAAGGTTATAAGTCCCCTAATTGGGGTTATAAGTTATAAGTATAGTTACCTTAGTAATAACCCTACTTGCTGAGTCCCATGATCCTTTAAGTACTGGCAATGAACTGAGCAGTGCTGTGACTATGCAAGCCCGCGAGCAATGTGGAGAGCGAGTGAAATTTTGTGCTCGTTGCCCAAAAACCCGACAGAAATTTGAAAGGGCTATGAAGCAACTTATTCTCGAAACGAACCACCGCCGCATAAGATCCAAATCCGTTGATGTCAACAGCCCTTTGAGAATCCCATCGCCCCCAACAAAAAATACTCTTGGACCGCTCAAGCTCTTCGTTTTGCAAGTGAAGGGACGCTGAGCCATCCCAATCGTCGTTTGACAGGTCGCTGCGCACGCTCAGCAATTCTGCATTTGCAAAAGATGGGAGTCAAATCTTGAGTTGTTGTTTGAGCCTTCCCCTTCAACCGCCCTCCGGGCCCGCATCATCGCCACCTTTTTCGCGTGCAGAACTCAGCAGTTCTACTTGAAAAAGACGGAGCCAAAGCTTGATCCATTGTTTGAGCCTTCCCGCCCCGCACGCCCCGCTCCGCCCCACTCGAAAGACTATTGTATGCATGTACGAAAACAATTTGACAATCTTGCATAAGATAATACAGAGTTGTACAAAACCGTTTTGCATGTGCATTCTGTCAACAGTCTTGGCGGTGGTCGAGCTGGGCGGTGGTAGAACCGGTGGTCGACGGTGGTCGAACTATTTTTCTTGCCTGGACATGAAGTTCGACCACCGTTCGACCACCCAAAGTTCGACCCCCGCCCAACAAGTCCACCAAATGACGCATTCGCAGATTTCTCTGCGATGTGTGCATCAAAGCGTGGAAGTTGATGGTGCAGTTTCCCGGTTGCGAATAGCAAAATGGTAGTGCTCATGCCACGAGTGCCCCGACACATGAAGCCCCCTTTGGATGATTCTCACGCTCAAACAACACACACGAGTGTTGGTTTGCCTTTTTCGCGCCTTTGCCGTTCTAGCCAGTTCTAGCTATGTGTAATTCCTCGAAGGCTAGCTTGCAGATATCAGATGGTGGTGCTCATGCCGCGAGTGCACAGACAAATCGAGGACTTTGTGGGTGATTTTGATGTTCAGAAACGAAAGCTTTGATGACAACCAATCTAAACAATGTCAAAACAAGCGAAACAAAGCCCTATCTTCGTTTCAGCCTTCATTTGCCCGGGCCGACTTTATGTGAAATGCAGAAGCCGGCCTCAGTGATGCAATCCGGGTTTGGGTCTCAGGGCTGTTTATCGCGATTCCAAAGTGACGTTAGGTTTCAGGCCATGTTTCGTGCCACACTTTCCTCGGCTCGCACGAGGGCATACTCTGAAGTGCTTCCACATCGCAGGGGATGGCCTTGCATTGGCCATGGCTGGAAGGTGGTCCCTGGTGACATGGCAGTAATGTGAGAGTCTCTGCTTCGTGCCGGCGTCCCTGGCTTGGTACCTTCATGAGGGATCATGCAGGGAACCGTTTGGGATCTGTGAAGTGGGCCGTCTTGCCAAGCCAACCCTTGCTAGCTTGCCCCTGCTGGCTTGGGGGGGCGGGCCCATGGAGGTTCATAGAGATTCAGGTGATGCCGGTTGCTTGCTCTGGCACGCGTAGCCATGACGTTTTCGGAGCCCTGTTTGCGTCTTAACCCCTTCTCGATATGGAGAAAACTCGAGTGCCCGTCCTTTTGCCGAGGGGCGACTCTCACTCACTCACTTTGGGGGGTTTCTCTATTACTATAGTACTATGTAATTTGAATATAGCTTTTCTTCAGCATGCAATGGGCCTATGTAATTGCCCCTTCTCCTTATCTATAGATTTGGTGGAAACAGCTGGCAGCGTCCCAAGTTCGCACGGAGAGCCCGATTTCGATGTTTCAATATAATGTCCGGGGAGTGTACGCTATCAGTGGATTCACATGCTCACGGGCTTCCTTAGGGCTCGTTTCCTCACCTCAAAACTCGAAGGAACAATTCCAAGCTGTTGCAAGCTGTCAGGTTGAAGCTATGCTGCAGCTCCCTCTGGACCCGGATCTTTATCATGGTGACACCACACCACTGATGCATGCGTCCGAATACGGCCACGCAGATGTCGTTGAGCTTCTCCTGGAAGCCGGCGCTCAGAAGGACTTGCAAAGCGGGTATCGCAGTACGGCGCTGATGTTTGCAGCGCAAAGCCGTCGTTCCAAGGCAGTTGTGCAGCTGCTACTGCAGGCAGGCGCCCAGAAGGATGCACGTGATGACGAGAACAGCACGGCCCTCATGTATGCAGCTTGCAGCGGTCGTGTTCCAGCCATGTGGTTGCTCATTGAGGCGGGTGTTCAGAAGGATCTACAAGACACGCGTGGCCGCACAGCGCTGATGGATGCAGCAGGGGCCGGTCATGCCTCAGCAGTGGAGTTGCTGCTGGGGTCAGGTGCTCTCAAGGATATGCGTGACAACGAGGGACTTACAGCGCTGATGTTGGCAGCACAAAAGATGCGTGCAACAGAAAGCGGCCATGCCTCAGTACTGAAGTTGCTGTTGGGGTCAGGTGCTCTCAAGGATATGCGTGACAACGAGGGTCGTACAGCGCTGATGCATGCAAAATTGGAGGGTCATGCTGATGCCGTCCGTTTGCTTCAGTATTGGAGGCCGGTGCACAGAAGGATGTGCGCGACAACAAGGACAGCGCAGCACTGATGCGTGCAGACTTTCGCGCTCATGCTCAAGCCGCCCGGTTGCTCCGCCCAGAAGCAAGAGAAAACACAGGTGGCTGTGTACTTGTTCCGTTAATGCTGTAAGAGCGGTTTGGGACGTGTCCTTAGACAAAGGTTGCTTACTGCAAGCGGAAAGCACCCCGCCCCACTAAAGCTTTCGATCCCTGGCTCGCTGAAACCTGGTAGAACCCTGTCGGCAAAAGCTCGGCCAGGCTCTATCCTTCCGGCCGAGGATTGAGTGGCGGGTTGACTATTCAGTAGTAGTAGTAGTAGTAGTAGTAGTAGTAGTAGTAGATGGTAGTAGCAGAAGTCGCAGTAGTGGTGGTAGTAGTAGTAGTAGTAGTAGTAGTAGTAGTAGTAGATGGTAGTAGCAGAAGTCGCAGTAGTGGTAGTGGTAGTAGTAGTAGTAGTAGTAGTAGTCGTCGTCGTAGTAGTAGTAGTAGTAGTCGTCGTAGTAGTAGTAGTAGTAGTAGTAGTAGCAGCAGCAGTAGTAGTAGTAGTAGTAGATGGTAGTAGCAGAAGTCGCAGTAGTAGTAGTAGTAGTAGTAGTAGTAGTAGTACTAGTACTAGTACTAGTACTAGTACTAGTAGTAGAAGAAGTAGTAGTAGTAGTAGTAGTAGTAGTAGTAGTAGTGGCAGTAGCGGTGGCAGTCGTAGTGGTACATGGTAGTAGGAAGACTGCCGCAGGATTCTTGGCTCGAGCACCGTGGGCCGTGGGGGGTATCAGCAGCCGAAGGCTCTGGAGGCCCCCAGAGACCAGTGCCAGCGAGCCTCTCAGAGCGAAGAGTTTAGGATTGAGGGTTCCTTTCAAGGCATCTATAAGGTAGCTACATGGGGTTCCTTTAATAAAGGGATCCATAAGTCTATAACGTATCTACAGGGATTCCTTGAAAAGATCTATAAGGTATCCACAGGAGGGTTCCTTCACAAAGGATCCATAACGTATCTCCCGGGGTTCCTTCCCCGGGATCTATAGGGGATCTAGAGGGGTATAGAGAATCTATATACAGGGTTTAGGGTTGAGGGTTTCAGGGTGTGAGGGTATAGGGTTGGGTTAGGTTGTGGGGCTTTAGGGTTTTGGGGTTGAGGGTTTTAGGGTTGAGGGCTCTAGGTTTTGGAGTTTTTGGGTCTTAGGTTATGGGTTTGGGGTTTTGGGATTTAGGGGTTTGATGGCTTTGAAGCTTCAGGGTTGGACCTTCTGCCTTTGCACTGCTCCCATAAACTAGTCGAGCGTTCCGGTTTAGACAACCACAGAAACCACAACCATGGCTGCACGAACCATGCGCCTTCAAGCAGCGCTTCACTCGGACCCTCATCCACAATCCCAAGCCACAAGCTCCAAAAGTCCAAACATGCCGAACGTCTGAACAAATCCCGTTCGCTTTTCAACTAGCAGGGCCTCCTGGAAGAACCCTGGGAGAAAATCCTCACAAAACACACAAAACCCTGTAAACCCTGAACCCAATACAGTATCTGGCCCGGTTCCAGTCCAAAGAGTCCAGAGTGCCTGCATAGTAGAAAAAGTCTATATTTGGAGTTGTGTTGTATCCCCATATAGGTACTCAGGGCCCTTCGGTCAACTTGCCCTGAACCCTAAACCTTACCTAAGCCCCCCCAAAGTAGGTAGAATACTGGCCCAGCAGATTTGGTTTTGGATTCTTTGGGATGTAGGTAACATCCTAAAAGCTGCAGACCGAAAACCCTACCTAAACCCTAAACCCTTTTTTGGGGGGGGATCCCGGCCCCTATAAACCCCAAACCCAGACCCCAAAACCCAAAGCCTTGAGCCCAAGGGCGCTTTTTGGGAACCCTTGCAATGAACCCTAAAAAAACCTAACCTCTGAAACCTTCTATCCTGAACCCTAAACCCTTTCTAGACCCCTTCAAGGGGACCCTTATGGACCCGTTTACGATAAACCCTGGACCCCGAAACCCCTAAGCTTTAAACCCAAGCCTGAACCCTAAACCCTGAACCTTTATAGACTTTTAAAGGGAACCTTTAAAGGAACTATAAAACCTTATAGACCCTTATAAACCCCAAATCCTGAACCCAGAATATTTGGCCGGTTTGCAGCTCCAAGGACTATGCCGATCCCCAGCTCGGCCAACTTGCCACCTCTGAAGGATCGGTTTTAGGGGTTTTAGGGTTCATGGCGTAGGGTGGTTAAGGGTTTAGGGGTTTGGGGGTTTAGGGTTTCTGGTTTAGGGTGTTTAGGGGTTCAGAGGGGTTTACGGTTTAAGGGTTGATGTCTGTGTAATTAGTTTCTCACTGAGTGTATGTATTTGTTGTTTCCGTATTGGCCCATGTACTTTTTAGGCCTGAAAGGGCTTCCTCTACAGAGACTTTGGGGGGAGGGGGTTACTACATTGGTACGTGGACCCTTGGGGTTGATCTGCTTATTTGCAGGCTTTTGTGTACTTCGATTGATATCGATTCGTTGAATTTGGTGTGTAGGGGTTGCTACGTCGTTATGTGTTTGTGTGTTGTGCTGTTGCTTTCGGAGTTGTGAAGTATGACAATGTTAGGCTGTATGGAAAGTCCTCGAGAAGTAGTGTAGCTTTAGAGGTGGGGGACTACCGGACCCCAACTCACTGACACTTGGATATGATCTCATGCTTTTCTTCATTATAATTTATATATATATATATAAATATTATAAGACACTATATATTGTATTTATGAACACATATGCTAATATACGTGTTCATCTGTATACACTTAATGAAGCCCGCAGTGTTTATTTTACTATAAACCGGAAGTAACTGCGGGTGGGGGGGGCGGGGGTTAGTACCCAAGTTTTACCAGTTGCTGGGGCCGAGAATTGATTTGGAAGTTAGTGGCTTTAAGCTTGCAGGGTCTTTCAAGACTCTTCCCTTATAGGGCTGGAAAGTGTCGTTTTGTGTTTATGCTTCTGCGCCCAAAGTCCTGGTGGGCAAGGGTACTTCTGCACCTTTGACATGTGAGGCTGTTAGTTCCAGTGTATATGTGAGTTGTTCTGGTTGAGCCTCTCAACCCTAAACCCTAGACATTCGTGCAGTGCTGCCTTCCCCCGGGTCAATTTCAATCCGAAGTCGCTTGAGCTCCTGTTAGGACTTACGTAAACCACCAACAAAAAACAAGCCAACAAAAAGAGTTTAGGGTTCAGAGTTTAGGGCGCTGTAGACCCCATAGCCCCATGTTATCCCTGTTGCAAGTTAATTTTATCCTAGACCCAGAACGCTCAACCAGGACATCGTCTACACGGAGTCAACGGACCCTCCTATCGAGACCAAAGAGAGCGATGCTCTTCCTTTGATTAGTGCCAAGCGTCTACGCAGCAATGAGATTCCTTTGGGACTTGGAGTTGAGAGGTCCATAGGGGCTTAGGGACCCTAAACCCTAAACCGTAGGCATTAGGGGGTGTATGTTTCGATTGTTGGGGTTGCATAGGACTTGCGAAGTTTCGGCTTTTATGATTGATGGTCTTGCGGCTATGAGGGCTCAGAGATACGGAGTTTAGGTGTCCAAGCTGTTTCTTTCAGCCAAACCCGATACCCCAACCCATTTAGCTCTCTAGGGTTTAGGCCTAACCCCTAAACCCCTAAACACTAATCAACCCTGCTCTACCAAATCAGAGAATGCCTCCGCAGTGACCGCAAAGCGGTACGTCTGCCTCTGAACAGTGATCTCAGATAGAACACTGTCTATGACTACCTCGATGCGCTTCTGTATGTGAAGCAGTATAGTAGCAGAAGTTCCGCAAGCTGCCCTTCCAAACCTCGGTGGCGGAACGTGCAGGCAGCATCACGAATCAGGCTTGTGTTCGTGAAGGAAGGACTGAAGTCATCAAATATGCAGTCGATCAGGCTGCTAACCTTGTTTTTTCCTGTACATGCTGTTTTGGAGTCTTTCCGACAAACTGACATTTTTAACAAATAGCGTTACTTTGATTGTCGAAGAAATACGGTTGAAGCAATTGTGACAAATTGTACATTTCTGACCATGTTCGGGATTGAACTCAGGTTTCTTTAAAGGGCCCCTGCAAGCGTCATATAAGGGCCTGCTTGTAAGGGTTACTATACCGGCTTCATATGAGGGCCTGACTTTCGACTACTGAAAGGGTCATGCCCGCAGTGATTTAGCAACTAGGGATACAAATACGGTAACTGTACTTACAAAGTGTTTAACCCCTTTTATGGGGCACTTAATACCTTACTTACTAAAGCCTTACTTACTTAGTCCCATGGTCCTCCATGCGGGGAACCCTGAATGGAACACAGGAAACGCGTCTGCATTACGGGTCGGAACGAGCTTTTTCGGATGTCGACCCTGAGTCGAGGAAAGGGTGCTTTGAAGCGGGGGATTGAGGGTTTAGGGTTTAGG